CTGTTGGTAAATACGTAGTGATAAAAGAAAAAGTAAAGTGACGATCATGCGATCAAAATAAAGTTATCTTCTCGACTTTAAAGATGAATTAGATACCCCGAGTGGTAGTAGTAGTTCAACAACGAAGATCTGCAAGTTTTACTCCGAGACGCGAGACTGAAGGCTCTGATCTCGCGCTTTATAGTTATGCGCAACGCACGTGCTTGTATTCTTCCTGCAAACGCGTCCAGCTCTGTATCTCGCTCCGAATAATGTATCGTTTAACTCGTTCTTTTTTATCGCGCATACGGTAAAGAAAAGTTCCAACGGTAATCGTGATCCGACGCTCATCCTGCACATGACAAATCGCCGCCCACGGATTGGCATTAGATCTTTCTCGTTCAGCGGCGGACAACGTCGCGCGGAGCTTTTCATTCCCGCCGCTTTACAGCTGTAATCTGCGCGTGTCCGCGCGCGTGAAATAATTGGCGACACAATCTTGTGATTCGCGTCGCTCTAATTTTCCCGCTGACGTGCGTTTACACTTTCATTTCAATATTAATAGATATCCGGCGTTGTCGCACGCGTCCCACCTTCACTCACCGCAACAACTAATGTTCCACAGTTCTACGTTCGCGCAGCGTCGCGTATGTAGACGCGTGTAGGCGTCGCGTATACTGACGAACGTAATCGACAATGCGACAATTGATTAATATCGGGGAAACGGTTCTTGAAAAATTCGGACCGAATTGAGCTTTCGATCTGCTGTTCACTCGTCTTGAAATTAACGGTCGAGAGTGAACGGCGCCACGTCAACGATAAGTCCAGCGCTTATCGCGGCGCATTGTCGAGCAAGTAGATCCGTGTATGCATCTCGAAGCAAATGGCAATACTAAATGAAAAGAGAATTAAATCAAGATTACTCCTTGTTTGGTAATACCGAGGTATTATTTATTATTATTGTTTTTGATAATACCAGATATTATATTTCTCAACATAGTATTAGAGCCAAACAATTGCTTACGAGTGTACTTAGCAATTGATAAAGGGATATCGGGGGATTTTAATTGATAAAAATATTATTGGGACAACGACCGGTTCAAAGCTTTCGCTGCGTTTGTTTGTCCGATAGATGTTCATTCGCAATATATGATGGACAATTTCATCCCGGCTAGAATTGTTACCAGGTATACCTAATATTGCACAAGATGCTAACTGGGTGAGCGCAAGGTCCTTGTTACGGTAAATCTGATCATGTAGAGATCAAAATAAGGAAGACCTTTGTAAATCTATAATGATTAGGTACATATTAAGATCTTAGCGTATTATTTTATAAAGATTTATAAGTCCTTTTCGGGGTCTTACTCGCTTTATGATTTTTGCATTGGCGGTTTCTAATACGGATCTTTTGTAGCAAACCTAGTGTATAGCAAGTTTGATTAATAAACATTATTTATATAATTCTTTCCATCAAAATATCTGCTGCTTTTGCATTGTTAAAGTAAACAATCGTCTAATTCTAATAATATCCCTTCTTTGATTTTCATTTTGTAGATATTTTTCACTAGTTTAGCAATCCCCGTTCTTTATAAATCCGAATCTAATCATAATCCTTTCCTTGAGGTGAAACGTGATAGAGATTCAATAATACAACCTAATAAGAATATATTACAATGAATCCTGACTAAGATTCTGATGTTACATCTTAGGACGCGATAGTATAACTTTGGATGAACCTGACAACCAGTTTAAAGTCAACGCGATCGAAATTTTTCTAATCGGGATCCTTCCGACTAGATAATAACAATGATAAATATTAATATTTAAATAGCGCTAGACCATCCGTGCTACGCTCCTCGTAGCCCTCCGATTCTTCCTTTCCTTGGGGAAAAAATTAATCGAGACGAGACGTGCGTCGAGAAGGACAAAATGAGGGCGCCCACCAGCAGCGAGGACAAATCCCCGGATACCCGGACGACGCTTTTTCGGGGACACGTACTTGCAGTCGATATAGCTTAAAGACGCAAAGTTTCAGCTCGCCTGTGCAACAAGTATCCGGGAGTCAAAATCGTTATAGCTCGCGGTGGCTTGTCACACTGCCCCCGTTTTATCCCTTTAATCCTCAAATCGCAACCGTGAATGAATTTTGCAGCTTTCGCTTTCGTAAGGTGTAATAATATAAGCCGTCTACTCCGACGTGTACTTCAAGTATTCAATTCAATTAGTAGCGGCGCTGTCTCGAGCGTACCCCTCCTTCTCCCTTTCTTCTTTTTGCTTTTTCTTCCTTTTCTTTTCGCTCGGCTCGATTCTATCCGCAGGCGGACAAAATTGACACCCGACTTGCGATCGCGAGATTAAGTAACCGTCGATTCAACCACTCGCTTCTTTCCTGCTACTTTTTATCCGTCCTTTCGTTCACGGTGAGATTAGGGCGGAAATCCCAGCCCTCCGAAGCGGCGACTAAAATGGGAAAAGTTCACGGAGCACTTTACCACCACCGTCGCTGCCTGTCTGTCCGTCTCATTGGCGTTTTTCGCTCGGAAGTTCGCGAGCCCGGCCGCCTACCAGCACTCAGCCAACGAGAAGTTCCTTAATATAATTAAGGAGAGCCGCGAGGATAAAACGAACGTACATAATAAGTGCACAAGTCCGATCCAACTCTCCACCTCTCTCGCTCTTTGCGTCTCGCATGGAACTTGAATTATCTCGCAAATTGTGCCGGGAGAATTTTCGATAAGTGAGTTTGCCGTTGTTACCGTTGTTCGCGCGCCCCGACTTTCCTCTACGTCATTTTGACGTGGACGCGCGCGCAGCCGCGACAAAAATAGGCGAATGAATTGAACGGAATTTGCTTCGGAATTTATAACTCTGGTCCGGTATTAATTAAATATTTACTTCTGCGTGCGCTTAATTTGTTATACTCGATTAATACGTCGCAATTGTACACGCTGTATCATTCCCTAGACGGAAAATCACACGATTTTCAGCCTTATACGCGATACCAATAAGTGAATGAAAATTGCAGGCAAATAATTGTAATGGCAGAGTTATAATGACTCTATTTATAACGATCTCATGTGTACACGTATAAGACTGAAAATCGTAATAATTAGCTATAATCGCAATAATTAGGCTAATAATCGTATAATTTTCGATCTGGGAAATGATATAGAAAAAAAGTGCTAGATTCAAGTAAATAATTACTCCAATATTTCTTGGCAAACCTTTACTTTTTAGATTAAATAATGTTTATCTGATTCAAACAAAACATTGTCCAAAAGTAAAATATAATCCGAATAAAATCCAGATGAAAATTCGAATAAAAATTTGCTAAGGAACATCGGAATAATTATTAACTTGAATCAGGCACTTCTTTCCATGTACATGACACCGATTATACAAAGAATAGTGCAAGGACAGATGATAAACGACGATTGCTAAGTAGTTCGTTCCGAATTAATCAATCGCGGCACAGGATGACTTTAATGAGAACAAAACCGGCGAGGAGTGACGAGACGGATAATCCCGGCATTGCACGACCGTTTCACTTCCGGTGCATCCTACGTGGGACGCGATTTACGTAAATCAACAAGAGAACGTTACATCCTAAAGTAAAGCTGAAAACATTACGTTCTGTAACAGGAAAACCCGTTGATCACCGTGCCGACAATCTCGCCCGCAATTTTTCCAACGACCAGGGATACGACGTGGGCGAAAAAATATTAAGTTCGCCTCTATATGACGATTCGCCTTTGACATTTCACATGATGCAGTGCTTCCCTAGACCTTGGCAGGAACTCGTGTAACGGCCGCCCCGTTTATATTCCCTTAGAGCGTTTACGTCGTTCTCTGAAATATTTCGCCCGAGGTCCTTCCGATTTTCCGTCGAGCAACGAGTAAAATGTGTCTCGCCGCGAGATCACGACTCCGTCGTTTCTTTAAAGCCCAGGAGGAAATGGGGAAAGGACGAGGGGGGAAATCGCTCGTGACTGAACGCAGCGATGCACAGTGTAGGGTGACAAAGTGCGGAATCGCATTTCGGATATTCCCAGAGATTGACTTTTACGTGGATGTGAGAAATTAATTCCCATAACTCTCTTGCTTCTCGCATTCATCCTCTCGCCCGTATTTCCTGATATCTTTGTTCGATCGTTATCAAAAAAATTCCGACCTCTCTCGCCCGCTTTCAAGCACTTCTTCGTGAGGATGACCTATATGCGTTCGGCTGAAATTTTCTGGAAGGAATTTCCTCTTTACACTCGCTCCTTCCATGCTCTCGGGCGAGAATTAAAGAAGATATATTCGTTTCGTCCAAGCAAGCCACGAGAAAAGTGAAATTCATATAGACGCGTAATTCGCTTCGCATCTCTAAAGCAATACCACGGTGTACCCGTGACGCGATGTTGCGTCTCAGAAACATCAAGAGCAACAGAATGATCGCACATCGGTTCCGCAATATCCGAACGCGGGCTCCACGTCCGACGACTACGTCACTGACGAGAGGGGTGCAGTCTCCCGGACGTACATTCGTCGGCAGGATGGCTTTCAGGGGAGATTCAGCAGCAGGGGTGGCGGAACGAGGGGCGTCCTGCGCGAAGGTGGAGACCGAATCTCCCGAAAAAGAAACGGAAGAGTCACAGGATGCGAGACGGAGAAACGAGCGAAGGGGGATGAGAATGAGGGAGTTAGCAGGAGAAAGAGAGAAAACGAGCAGAGGAGATGACGAGGGTGGCGGAAGGGGTGAGAGTGGAAAAAGTGGGGGAGGAGGGTAAGGCGAGGAGGGGAAGAAAATGGACGGCGGCAGAGGGGGGGAAGGGAGAGGAAATGGGCCGAATGAGAGCGTGAACGGAGCGAGAGAGCGAAGTCCCAAGAGCATCCCCGTATCGCGAAGGAACAGGGACCCCGGCGGCGTGGTGGCAGGGCCGGCGACGGGGGTTGGCGGAGGGAGACGCGTTCGCGGGGGTGGGTTTCGTACGGCCAAGGCAGTGGAGCCGCGGACAGTCGCTTCGACGCTACCACCTCTCTCAGTTGCTCCTGGGTTTCCGGACTCTGCGGACAGGCAGGTTAGTGAATCCAATTCTCGTTCATTCACCAGCGCGACATCGTTCTCTCCCTCGCTCCCCTTCCGTGACTCTCTCTTTTTTCCTCTCTCTCTCTCTCTCTTGCTCGCTCACCCTTTCGCCGGCGACCTCTCGCCACCCTTGCACACCACCACCGCGTTTACACTCGCGCTTCACGTGTCACACCGGCGGGCGCGACTTTTTCCTTGCTTTCCACGAGACGATGGGGGGTACGTATCGGGCCGGGCTGGTGCGTATCAGGGGTAGTTCCACACGGTCAGGTCGTGGGCTGAACTGGCAAGGCGAGGCTCGGAACTTCGAACTGATGCGCGCGTAACGCGCGCGCTCGTCGCTGATTGATGAAAATTAGGCGTACGCGCCGCTGACTCGCCGTGACGCACAACCTGTTATGCCAGCGTTGCGGAGGAGGCGATATAATGATGACGTCGGGGGAAGGGATCTGAACTAGCTCGGAGGAATGTAATTGTGTCTAATGAGAGTGCCGGAATTAGAGCGGGAGAATTAGAGCAGAGGCGGGACGCGAGGGAACGCGAGCGGAGCGATGGATGCGATTTTTGTTCGGACGGACTAGGTCACCGATTAGGGCGAGGACGGGCGATTGTCGAGGAGATCGAGAGATCCTGGCACTTCACGTTAGCGCCGCTGTAACCGATCAGTGAAAGGCGCGATTTTCCTGCGCGTCGAGGAGGATGAAAGTAACGGATGTTTCGATCAATCGGTTTCCTCCGTTCGAAGGCACAACGCGGAAGAAGCTACACGGGGAAAATACAGTGGTGAAAATCACCGCAAAATTTCGCAATACCAGAATTATAACTGAAATGATTACGCGCGATATAATCTTTAGCGATTTGCTTTACTGTACACGTTGCTGGAGATTACAACACACGTAATCATTTCAGTCGTGAGTTGAAAAGATTTAAATTAAAAAGTTTCGCGACGAGTTTCACCACAATATTTATTTTCTCCGTGTGTGACTTTGCAGAATCGAATTCGAAAATCGCCGGAAAGAAGATTACGTCCCGCTCGTTTCGACACACGGTTCTGCAAAGTTCACAATCCGCTCGCGCTAATCTCCACGGCCGCTTAATGTCAAGAGCAACCTTGAACGAGAATAGAACATTTTATGATTAACACCGTGGCGGCGATTACTACTACGCTCATACGTGAATGGCCATAAAATTCTCGGCCGCCCCATTCGGCGCCGCGGAAAAGTAGGTCAGTCCCGAAATTGGAAGCCGTCGATCGGCGAAAAACATTCGGCACTATTTTTTTTTTTCTTCTTTCTTTACGAACGCGCATCCCACGCACGCATGATCGACGAATGTCACAGCAGAGAGGAGCGTTATTTTGTTCGTCGCTCGAGTCCCGACTCGGAAAAAGTCGACTCGCTCTCCGGGGAGGCTCGCCGTTCTTATTCCCTTTCGGGGGAGAAAAGCGCGGAAACGCGATCCGATTAGGCTCCCCTCGCACGACCTGTCGATAGGTTTTGCATCCTAATTACGCGCGGCCATTAATCACAGCTTGACTTCGCTAAACGCGCGCTGACACGACGTCGATGTAATGAATAAACACGGGCTAATGATGCGCTTCGTGACGCGCGACAACACGCGGGACGCCGGAAGGATTTCGCGAACGAACTGCTCGCGCGTCCGGTTTCGCTCGATCGCAGAATTCGCGCGAACGGGGCATGATCGAGGGATAAATGCAAGATATATTTCTGGTGAGATAATAAGAGATAATTCGCGTCGCGAAGGGGCGAAGTGCGTTGCGTAATAATATGCCGCCAATCGCACGTTGCCACGCGGTCTCGTGTGTACGATATTGGTAATTGAATGTGTCATAATTATCTTCGCTCTGCAATCAATGAGCTCGATAACACTGTTTTCGTTTCACCTCCGTTCGATATAACCGTTCCACGATAAACGGAAAGAATCGCCGGATATATATATCGCCAGAAGCGAATTTCCCATTCCGATTTAGCATTCGCGTTTTCTCCGGAGGAAAATAAGAAGTTTTCATTCACCGCGCGCATGTTGTGTGCCGCAAGTTCGCGCGAAACACGCGCGCGGGAGGAGACTCTCGTTGAGAACGGCGAGAGAAGACAAAATGTTTCGAAGACGAGACGAGGGAATCGTTTTAAACATTGTTAAATTCACGTCACGAAGTAACGTCACCGTTTTGAGAGTACGCGTGCAATTTTCATCGCGCAAATCCTCCGTCGCACATTCGCGAGTCAACAATAATCCAGGCTTGCCGCTCGTACCTGTCGGATTCGAATCTCACTTGTTGCAACCTTTTCGTTTCGACCAGCGCGAAGAGAGCTTCCGGGGAAGACTGCGTGTCATTTCTCGCCCTCTTTGCGCTCCCCCCTCGGCTCAGCTAGTTTTTCCATTTCTCCGTCGAGGCTCGAATGATTTATGAAGCTGCGGAAGAGATAATTTCTACAGGATCGCGGCGAGCACCACCACCGGACGAGACGACGCGCTCGAAACAGATGGAGAAGATATCGTTGCGATGGTTTGCGCAACGAGGATCCTTCGATCCTCAAATTGGGCCGTCCAGCCGATTATTACCCTCGCCGGCGATAAGAACCGCCGGGCGGTTTTCGTTCGAGCCAATCTCGAGCGAAATTGACTTTATTCGCTGAACGTAAACGAGAGAATCAATATTATCGGAAGGTCATCGGTCAACGATAATACGGGAAAAACGAAAAGAGAAACCAAGAGCGAAAAAAGATATTATTTCGTCTGATAATTCCAGCGACGTCGGGGAATTCGATTCGCGATTTTACGCTGCACAATGCGGAAAACGTTATTCCGCGTTGTGAGATTTCAGCGAAACACGCGCGAACGGGTGGAATATTTTTTCGTACGATAACGCAAATGTTACGAGATACAGTGTGACGGCTGGACGATGGAAATGTTGACCACAGGTATATCTATTTTCGTCTCACGGGGGAAATATGTTCCGGCAATTAAAGCTTACTCGTGCATCGACGTCAAATCAATTCGAAATTTCTCGGCAACGTTCAATAATAATGAAAAAAAATAATAATATGCGCAAAGAACGACGCGAATTTTTCTTCCAGTGAGAACTTGCGAAAAGTGAGAAAATGAAAAAGCAATCACGTGGAATCGAGGAGAGCCGCGAGAAATAGCGGATCGAAAGTAATTTTTAATTAACAATCTCTCTCTCTCTCTCTCTCTCACACACACGTACATTGAGAAAAGAGTTTGATAACAATTACCAAGATTTGGTTAAATAATTTCAACTAAGAGCCAGTTTCACAGTTTCCGATTAACTTAACCCGCTGATTGTTCCATTGGAATTGATCAATCGCATTTGTCGTTAAGCGGAATTGGCCAGAAAAAACTAAATCGGAATTGATATTAAATTAATCGGTCGGTTAAATTAAGCGGAGGTTGCGCAACTGGCCCTAAATTGTTTAGTTACTGCCACTAAATCATTTAGTACATGTACTGTACTGTAGTACTGTGTATAGTATATATGGTACATATAGTATATATATTAGTATATATATTAAATGATTTAATTACAGTAACCAACACAGTATATATGATACAAAATGATTTAATTGCGGTAACCAATTTAGTTGAAACTATTTAACCATTTCATGATATATTATCGCTCAAATAACAATTTTTCTTTGAATCTGTATTTATCTGGCTTATTCGATATTGTACACTAAAGGGTTTGTCCCGTCAATAAAGACTATTATTATCATTATTAACCAAACCTTGATCATTATTGCGAAATCTCTTTTCAGCGTACGCTCGCGCGGTGTCTCGTCAATGATCACTCGACCTATTTGGAATGTCAGTCACGGATTTAATCAGAAAGAACTGTTACGCTCGCATTAAAAAATAATCTCGCGGACCGCCACTCGCGTCCCCTGCGATTTCCGAACGATTTCGCGCGAGCGAGTCATTAGAAAGAGAGAGAACCACCGGTTATTCCTCTCGTACTCTTTATCCGCGCATGTTACGCGCGACATTAATCGTTATCGCGTCGATTTTCCTTTCTGAATGAAAAAGTGGCGCGAATACATAAAATCTCCTCGGGCCGAAATCGTGAGGCTTGCCCGACGAATCTTGCTGTATCGCTGATGGCGCGCGCAGGAACGCGGGGGCGTGCGAGATTTACGATCGAATCGTATATTCACAGCGTTTACCGTTATCTCTTTTATATTGACGCGCTGTTTAGCACATTCATCATCCACGGGGCCGCCGATGTCATGTCGTACGAGTCTTTTTATTGCGCGATGGCGTGCAGATACGGCGAAAGGGCCGGCCACGCGCTTCCAGATAAAACCGGGCATCATAAACTGTTGAGTTGCTCCATGCCGCATCCGCTTTAATCTTCTCGGGCTCTCTCTCTCTCTTTCTCTCTCGAGCCGAGAGAGAGAGAGAGAGAGAGAGAGAAATAGAGATTCTCTTCCTAATCGCGCGCGAAATTCTACTGTCTCCCTCGTGCCTGTCGTTCGCTCGCGAGACGCGTCCGCGAGTCATATTCGCGAGTCGGCTCGCAAAACGCACTCGTAAAACGCACCAGTTGGAAAATCGTAAACCTTCGCTGAGGTTTTGAGCCGTTACAACAGGGCTTGTTAAAAATGTCTCATCTTTTCGCTGAAAGTAGCGGTGAATTATACATTGTATATTACACTGCACGCTACGTTGAAGGGATTAAGTAGAATTACCGCTTACGGTTTATCTGCAGGTACCGCGTCATAAGAGAGAGAGAGAGAGAGAGACCACGACTATAAATCTTCGCGGAAACGTGAAGTGTCAAAGTCGAGTGTCGCAGGTGTTGTTTCAGAGCGCGCGCCTTTGTCTTTTTCTTCGCACGTCGCTAATCCGGGAAACACCCGGGATGACTTAATGAAAGGAAAAAAACCGCAATACCTCTGCAGCCGGTATGGCGGATTTCTCATTTGACTATCCTTTTAATTAATGATACGCCCC